CATAGCTGGGATACAATCTACTGATAGAATTTAACAAGGTTGGCGGCATTCCACACTCGAGGAACGTCGCCGCCGGCTGGAGTTTGCAATCTAAACGTCCCATCAGCCAACGCCTCCTTTATGATGTATGGTCCCTCGAAGCTTTTAGCAAACTTCCCTCCATCGGTCGGTCGGCTGACTTCCCTTTTCCGAAGGACCCCGTCGCCCACCTGGAACTTCCTTGGTCGTACCCGCTGGTCGTGATATGACTTGACCTGTCGGCGATAATTTTCTGCTCGCATATATGCCCTTTCCCTTCACTCATCAACGAGGTGCAGTTCTGCCCTCAAATTCTCCTCATTCTCTTGTGCATCAAACGTCTCCACTCTATAGCTCAACAATGAGGTCTCTGCTGGAGCCCTTGCTTCAAATCCATATGTGAGCGAGAAAGGAGTTTCACCTGTAGCCTTCCTTGGGGTAGTCTTGTAGGTCCACAAGATGTAGGGCAATTCCTCCACCCAGGCACTTTTGCATTCCTTTATTTTCTTCTTGAGTCCGTCCATGATGGTGCGATTGGTGTTCTCGACCTGTCCATTGGTTTGAGGGTACCCGACCGCTGCATAGCTGTGACCTATGCCCCAACTCTGTAGAAACTCATTGAACCCTCCGGCCTCGAATTGGGTTCCGTTGTCAGTGATGATTTGCTGAGGCACCCCAAATCGACACAAAATTTGCTTGGAAACGAACTTCGTCATCTGTTCTGCAGTGATGGTCGGTACGGGGGCGGCCTCGACCCACTTGGTGAAGTAGTCGATTGCGACCACCAGATATGTGTTGTTTCCCGTTCCTCGAGGCAAAATACCGACCAGATCGATGCCCCACCGAGCAAAGGGACTCGCCGTGCTGATCGGGGTATAATTTGTCGCCGGTCGCCCCGGCACCCTCTGGAACTCCTGGCAAACCTTGCATTTACGCACATACTCTGCACAATCTCTAATAATCGTTGGCCAGAAGTATCCTTGCAAGGTTACTTTCCTGGACATCGTGAAGGCTCCCTGATGTGCTGAGCATATTCCTTCATGGATTTCTTCCAT